CTGACTTACATACGGGTCCAAGCAATTGTCATTCAGCCCTGCTATGCCATGAGTGCCATGACTCCCATGACCCACTTCTGCATATAGACATAGATCGTGGAATCTGTCAGCTGTAACAAAGCACGTTCTTTGTTGAGAGCTTCACGAGCTTCTGCTTAGCGTCGTGAGCACTTTGGCTTCTGTCGACTCTCATTTCGAGCGGCGCTTGGCACCCGCAATGATCAATAGTGACATCACAAGAAAGAGTGCACCAAGAAATCTCTTCGCTCCAGCCTCAACCAGCAAGCGGACCACTTTAAAATGGCCATGCTTCGCTGCTAAGTACAAGGCTGTCCAGCCACGGTTGCTGGCCGCGTGCTTGTTGGCTCCGGCGTCCACTAACATCTTCAGCACCTCCGAGTGACCCTTAAAAGCAGCAATGTGCAAGGCCGTCAAGCCATCTGCTGTGGCTGCGTCCTTTTTGACACCAGCCTTGACCAGCAAGCGCACGACATCCAAATGGCAGTTGGCAGCTGCGGAATGCAAAGCTGTCCAATCTTGCTTGCTGGCTGCATCCTTGTTGGCTCCAGCATTCACCAAGAACTTCAGCACTTCAGAGTGACCATTGAAGGCTGCCAAGTGCAAAGCCGTCAAACCATCTGCAGCCGTGACATCTTTTTTTGGCTCCGACCTCGGCCAAGAATTCCACTACTTCCAAGTGTCCATAGCAAGCTGCCAAGTGCAAAGCTGTTAGACCATCTGCGGATGCCGCTGCATCCTTTTCTGCTCCAGCCTCAACCAACAGGCGAACAACTTCCAGGTGGCCATTGCAAGCTGCAATGTGAATTAAGGCTTTGTTGCCTCGTGAATCTCTCGTGTTTGGATCTTGTGGCCTCTGAAGCAGCCGTTCAACTTCCCGAAGTCTGTTTTCAGCACATGCAGAGAGGAGCTCCTGATCCATCATCCTATCAGGGGGATAGAGATCCAAGATCACCAGCTGAAGGCTGGCCGGATGTGGCAAAGTCCTTAAGCATGTCTCATCCTTCAGCTCACCTGTATCACCTAGAAGTCTCTGTCGAAACCTGGAGTATCCAATCTGATGTGCAAGCCGCTGCTTCAACTCCTTGAGAGTCTGGCCACGGTCCATTTGGTGCAGCTCATCCTCCTCAATCTCAGCGATGGTAGCACCCGACACAGCACTAATCAGCATGGCACATGGCGTGAGAAGAAGGGTCTCATCAGATTGGACCAAGTCACTAGAGCAATAGCCTGCAAAAATGGACCCGTTCAACAAAAAACTAGAGCAATAGCTCTTTCCAGTATATCTTGCAGCCATTTCCTGGTATAGACAAAAAAAAGGAATCCTTCATCCGATGTTCATTTCGAACTCTAACAGCGAATCAAAGGATCTGCGAATCTTTTTCATACCAGACCATACCCCTCAAATCCAAAAGTAGCTAAAGAGTTGTATGTAGCCAGGTATCTGTATACTATGATGGTATATATACATTGGACATGGCTTCAGGATGTTTCATGACGATACTTCATGTTACTTCGGCAGGAAAGAGGAACCAATTCCGTGTTTTCTCAGGACCTCCACTTCGTTCCTCGGGGAGAGCGCGCGAGCTCAAGCGCCAGGTCGTCGCACGCGGCCACCTCATGAAAGCCTTCTGCCAGCTCCCCGAGCTGCGCGGTGAGCTCCTTTTGGGCGCGGACCGAACTGGTAACTTGGACGCGGGGTGTGGACCGATGCCATGTCGCCCACAGAGAGGTCGGAGTCCGCCGATCACGTCTCAGGATTCCTCGCCTGGTGCGGTTCTGGTTTTGAAAAAAAAGGCCTTTGTGGGAAGATCTGAGAATGCTCGCAGTTCCACCGGCGGCGAAAGGGAGATGCTTCGCAGTTGGTAGTAATAGTCGCTCATGTTGTCTTCCCTTGGGGGGGTCTCATCACCAAATCCAGATCCAGGAGGAAATGATGGCAAAAGGACCAGGGAACCAAGGCCAGGCAAAGAGCTAGTTGAATACATCGACCAATTCCACGAACACCGCTGCCTGCACCTCGGTTCCTTCCTTACCCCATTCGTTCCGCCGCTCCACCGTCCCGTGGATCCCGATCAACGCCACCCGGTCCTGGCAGGTGGAGTCAGTACAACCTCGGCCCGCCCAACGTCGAAACGGGGGGAGACCGGCATTCGAGGCGGTCGGTCCGGACGGCCGTCCACATAGCCACCGGGAACGCGGAACGTCAACGTCGGCACCACGAAGGTCCATGCAGTGCCATGCTGTACCACAGGAAACCATGGCTGTGAGATCGACGGGAAGTTTGGCTGCACCGGTTCATGTTTCAAAACCTGCAAAATTCCAAATCACCGTGGAAGCAAAACCTGCTAGCACAACCAAGTCCTGTAGGTTCAAGCCTGGGAAGACTTCCAGTTGCAAGTTCTTCTGAATTTGATCATATCCCAGCGTGGATTGTCTCTAAGTAACCACTCTGCCTTGCAGATCTTGCAAAAACGAGCCAGTGTTTGCATCCTTTTCGTTGCCACCTGGACGACCGCAACCTCGCCCCTCGCCCCCGACCGCTTCGTGGCCCAAGAAAGGGATCGCTTCAAAAGGAACGGGCCAAGGATGGCGGAGGTATGTTGGGTTGTTTTGGGGCTCTGTACGAAAGCTCTGCCAAGGTCCAAGTTGGACCCTGCCTTTTTGTTGAATCGAGTTTGGGGGCAACCCCCACTTGATTCAACAAATCCATTATGATATGAGTTGCCCCACCAAGAAAACCACATGGCAAATGTTGCATAGACCCCCGGGTCTAACATACAGTATTCTTTTTACACTTCTACAGATTCACTCTGGTTGCAAGAGTCAGTTTTGGAGGGATACACATGCCAAAAGTGAGTAACAGAGGTTCCTAACGTACTGAAAACGCAGTCCTGGTGTGTTCTGTCAAGGGACTAAAGATCTTTTCTCCGTCCAAGAGGACGTGTTCAGCCACATCTTCTTGCATGGCCCCGTCGAAGCGTAGTTGAAGCCTGCCGCTGCTGTGGGACGGGGGATCCTGATCATGCTAGGCAACCGAGTGGAGCAAACAGCAGCCCCACACAATCCTAAAAAGCCTCGTTCCTCAGCTCTATAGCAACCTAATTAACATATATTTTAACATACTCTTTTGGCCCTCTTCCCTTCCCCTCTGGTGGCGACTCCACCTTGCGCCACCTTTCGCTCACGAAACACCCCCGGGCATATGCGGCTCCGAGCGTCGGCCTGCCAGTCATCTCATTCGCCTGCGAAGGAAATGAAATGTGGTGACCATATGGGGGGTACCTTAGATATCTTAGACACCCTCTTCCATGGATACCTGCAGCTTCTTTTGGTTTCATTCAATATTTTGTGAAAACACCCCATAAACCCATGGCTCTTCTTTCTTTTCTCTGCTGACACCGCGCACACATGCACATGGCTATCCATGATTATCCATGGCTATCCATGGTAGTCAGATGCTGCAGTCCTGCAGGGGACGTTGGCATCGTCCGATGTCACGAAAGCCCTCACTGGGGGTGTTCCACCTACTATACTTGCAACGAGCAGAACGTGACAACGTGTCACACCATTTCTCATCCCAACAGGCTGTAGCCTAGGCCCTGCAAGAGTGGCTGAAGGAGTCTTTCTGAAGTTCCAACAAGGAGCTCTGAGGAGTTCAACAGCTTTTTGTCTTTTACCATTCCAAAGGCCTTCTCGATGCGTTCCTCTACTCGAAGCTGGCCAGCGAACATGCCGCAACAGCGCGGCTTGGAAAAACGCCGTGAAGCTGCGTGGCGAAAAGCACTTCTGGTGCGCCTGAAGCACTTCTCCGTGTTTGGGCCAGGTCTCAATGACCAGCGGTGGCAATGCTCTCAAGGGTCCAGGCCTGGTCTGGCAGGGCGATGGTCGGCGATCGGGACCACCCCAGAGGTTGTTAGCGGTGCTTGTGAACCTTCCCACTGAACCTCCATGAAATCACCAGTGTCTACCTGAACTTCAGTGTAATCTGTCTAACAGTGAACAGGTGTTCTGGGATCTCTGCAAAAAAAACGCTCTCCCACTTCGCAACTCTCCCACTTCGCTGCAAAACCATGTTCGGGATGTCCTCCGCGCATGATGGAGCTTTCAGGTCGGGTGAAAAGTTTGGGCTCAGTAACCTGGACAAATTAGTTGACTGCTCCAGGTTGACTGCCTCGAATTCAATTCCATCGAACTTCCAAAGACTCATTGCGGAGGTTGAACCTGCGGAATTGATTGATGACCACGCTGTGACCGTGAATTTGTCGTGCAGGCCTCAACCACTATAGTACTAATGAGCCACAACCATCGTTTCACAAGGATATGTTGCGCAAACTCGTAAGATGCAAACTCCTATATAAGTCTAAGTACTGCTGACTGATCCTTCAATTTCTCCATTTCAGAAGGGGAACTCATAGAATCTACCTTCTTGGTCACATGGCCAAGACATCAAGGCACGCAAAAGAACAACACCCAATCACTCACCCAACAACACCAACTTGACGCCCACTTGGGGCCGCCGCCGCCCCCCCCTCCCCCAAAAAAGACCTAAACACAAACCGGAGCTCCCTGGGTCCTTCAGCTCCGTCAGTCCGGGGGTCCTGCAGGTCACGTGGCTCGAGAGGTCACGTCTTAGCGCCCGGGCACGAGAATCACGGCCTCTAAAGCTTGAAGGTCCAAGGAGACAAAGCCCGAGGCCTCGACGAGCACCTGGGCCGGGTGACCGTGACCGGTGATGTGAGGAGCTTGCAGTTGTAAGAAGGAGCTGTAGTTACTTGAAGTCATATGGATCAGATGCTGCAAATGAGTAGCTGTTGACGTACACTCTGGATCGGATGCGAGCCTCTAGATCTTCATGATGGCTGCGCGGATGGCTGTCTTGCACCCTTTTGAGCCTTTGAACCTTTAAAGCCGTGGCCTGGACCCTGTGGCCATCCTGGACCCCAGTGGCCAGCCTCTCTTCGGCCATCCTCGTCAGACGTGCGGGCATCCAGCAGCCGTGTGCCCTGGCTGTCGGGTCAAAGCAAGTGATCAATGATCTGAAGACCACCTCCAACTAGATCTGGTGCTGGGCTGGGCAGGTGGTCGATCTTTGTTTCACGACATGGACGTCAAATCACGTCCAACGACGTTTTACAGTATCCCATAGTAACCCCCAAAGTTGCTGGGGGAATGAAAACATCTCCAGCTGGAGGCCACGGAAAATGATCGGCGGCCTAGTAAAATAGAATCGAGATCTGAGTTCTCACTTTCAGGATCTACCTCAGGTGGATGTCTATGGATCTATACTTCAACGCAAAATGGGCCGCAGTGGGGTCGCTCTATTCCAAGTCTAATCAACGCCACACCCGGGAAGAGACCCACATGAGGCTGGTGCGTCGACCGCACGAACGAGTGCCTCACTCCATGGAGAGTAGAATGCTGCCGTCCTGGCCTCCTGGGCGTTGTTTCCACACGGCAGTCACGCAGGGACGCCACAGTGCCCTGAAGCTTTGAGAATAGCAATGAGGTGGTGGCGCTGGTGGTGTTCAAATCTCATTTAAACCATGAAGACCTTTGGATCATGGGGCAGTTTCCATCGTTCTGTGTAGGTCACTCGCTTCTTTTTGCAGCAACAGCAAGACCATCAGCAAGTTCAGGACGCTTGTAGTTGCACTCTGCAAAACGATCTCAGGTTACACTTACCCAGAGCTTCAGTGCCACATGTGCAAACGGATTGTGTAAATCAACTATTTTCGCATGCCTCAGGACAGCGCCACAAGGAGACCATGTTCAGCTTCCTTTCCTTTCCCCTTTGGACCCTTCCCGGATTCCAAGTCCTCAGAGTGGAAGTTAGCAGCTACAAGCACTCGGCCTGGCAAGACGAACAATTCCTTTTCATTCGGCATACGGTTTTTCAGTATATATTTATGGCACTTGACCTGGAGACTGTTTTCCTCGGCCGCGTTCCGCGCGGCAAATATGACATTTAATGTGCAAAATGATATTCAAAGCTGCGATGCTTCACAGCCGGATGCTTCGACAGCCGCCGATGCTTCACGATGCTTCACGTCGCCGTGGGGCGGGAGAGAAGGGATGCTTGGTCATTCTCACCGGGCTCTTCGCCAAAGCTGCCTTCCACATCACATCCTCGCCAGAAAATCAGCAAGTCCTGCAGAAACAGGCCGAAACAGGTCGAAAAACAGGTCGAAAAACAGGTCGAAAAACAGGTCGAAACGGCTCCAAAGGGCCAACCACCTGCTCAGCTGCGGTGCAACGATGTGGAAGGGCGGCGGAACGGCGTCCTGCACTTCAGGTTGAGGGGTCTTCACCTCATCGCAGGAGGCCTGCCTGTCAGGTCGTGGCAGCACTGGGGTGGAATAGAACAGGGGGAATTCCAAAAATGGGTGGCTGCAGTAGCCTTGCCTTTCGTTGAAGTGAACGCCTTACATTGAAAATGATGAATCGAAACAAAATAAACAAACTGTTCGTTCCAGAAGCTTGTTTAGTCAGCGATTTGAACAGTAAGCCGACTAGACTCGACTACCATTCATCTTGCCGGACATCCAGGTAAACATTTTGAGGGGTGGCGTAGACTAGAAGCTTTACATGGAAAACGAACCATCCGTGAACCGAAGCTTGAACCCACACACAGGGACGGTCAGGAATATAAAGAAAAGTCATGAAAAGTCCACTGCCGAGGAAAGCTGTCCGGAACATCAGCACTTGTTCGTTCTACATCATGGGCAAACTCACAAAGAAGCTCTCCGGTCAGTCCCTCGCGCTCCATTAAACCCAACATGACCTCAACATGCTTCCCTTCTGGTTCCTTTGCATGTGAGAAATCCAAGACAATCCAAACAGGTCTTGTCACTCTGCCAACCGTATAGTAGTAAGCCCAAACCGCAAATCCACAGCTCTTCTCCCATCGCCCCACCGCGCCCGAAAGCGCCGAAATACGCCCGGCGCAGGGCATTGAGCCGTGCGATGTAGCGATAGTTGGAGGAGGTCATGTCCTCGACACCGAGCGACCGCATAACCTCCTGATGGATCGACGCGGACCCCGACTGGCGGACTGGCCAAGGAGGTCCATTTCGCAGAAGGAGTGCGGAACCTCTTTGACTTGCAAACAGCTTGAGGCAAAAGTTGCCACCCCGACACAAGAACAACGAATGCAGGCTCCCTCTGGTTGTCAAGATTAGACATGAAGCAAAGCTGACCTGCCCAGCCTGCCTGCTCTGGTGTCTTCCAATTGTCTATATTGCTTTCAACATAGCTACGTGGTGTTCAACGGACACAGCTGATCATCCGTGAACGTCCGACGTATACGACTCAACGTCCCCGAGACGAAGATCATGCGTGTCTGGCGGTTTAAAGCAAAGGCAAAGACTTACAGTAAAGAGTCCTTTCTTTGATCATGAAGTGGATTCAACATGGAAACAAACGGATGACCCGAATTTTCGCTTCACCTCCTTTGCCTATAGAGAGGTCGGGTTTTTCAGGAAGAACGGCACGAACTGTTCACGGCACGAACTGTTCATGCAACGAACACAGAACACTGCAGACCTGAAGGTCACAGGTCGATTCGCTGGGATCGTCCGGGTCGTCCGGACAAAGTTGTCGCGCTCTGCAGGGTTGCCATCCTGGGACGTCTTGACCTGGGGCGGCGAAGACCGCACGAGCTCGGCGTGCTGCCACTACACCTCAGCAAACCTCATGAAGCCGGTCTATCCAGTCAAATGGTCTCCAGAAAAAAACGGAAAGCTTTGGTGGATCTGCAGCATCTATTGGCCCGTTCTCTGGCCAGTCTCGTGCTGGAGGCTCGAGGTTGTCCAAGATTCTATTGTAATCTTTCCACCCTTCGACCAGTTTTCTGATGCAAGGGATTTTGAAGCCCTGATTTGACGAAGCCCTAGCTGCCATCTCATGGTTGAACCCCCACCAACGCCGCTCAACACGTGTTTCACTTGTCATCGTGAATGTGGGTCGACACCGATCCGTCCAGCCGATCCGTCCTGCCCAAAACGACATCCCAAAAGTCCAGGAGGCTGTGCTTCCAAAAGGGAGATTCCGGCGGCCAGCTCACCCCAGAACCCAAAAACCACATTGCTCAAAGGGGCACTGCTGGTGCAGAGTTCCAGATCCAACCCAAAAGGAAGCAAGCGAGCGAGCGAAACGACTCCCGCTTCGAGTACACGATCCCCTCAGGTTTTCCGAGGCGTCTCGAGGGAAACCGCCCAAAGGTGCCGAAAGTGCCGCAGGCTTCGAGGAAACCACTCATGGACCCTGCAAACCCGAGGCCCCAGCTGCAGTCCAGGCTAAGGAGGTGCTGAGCTCTTCACGAGCCCAGCCATCTAAAGCACTTCCAGGCCTAGTCGCTGCACTCAAGTGGGCTTGCACAATTCAAGAATTGGATGGGTAGGGCACAACCAGAAAATAAGTCAGTCCAGCAAGCATCCTCTGTCTTTCAACATGACTCAAATCGATGGAGCAGCGTCCTACAGTCCTTGCTATGAGTGGGAACCATTTGCGATCTGACTGCTGAAGTCCATCATCTCTCAGGGAAACTGACGTATCAATACTCTGCTCGTCACCGGCATAGTGCAGGGGCCTTGGTTGACAAGCTTGTTTGAAACGTGAGCTGCCATGTCTCAATCAGGTTTGAAATGCCATTCAGTGCCCTAAGCCAATGAGGTGCAGGAATGGGAATTGCAAGAATCGTAAAATGTTCTGCTATGTTCTGCTCATCTGGCAGAGTCATGGGCGTGGGCTCTCTCGGACCATCACCACCATGCGCACTCTTTCCGGACCCGACCGTCCAGAAGGTCTTGGGCCCATGCAAACCTGGCCAAAAGGTGATCACGGCCAAACCTAGGCGGTTTTGCATGCAGACTTGCAGATAATGTGGGCTGGCAGGGTGTGAGGCTGTGCGAAACTGTTTGTGTGTGTGTGTGCATTGACCTATATAACTTGTCTTTGTGCGTTTCTGAAATTCAGTGCGTGTGATTCAAAAGTGTGAGTTGCTGATTTTCCCGATTCATGCAGCACAATGGCTTGGCACTTGTGGCATGTCTGCGCCTCCATTTCTTCAGACTCAAATGCTATGTTCGTGATTTCTTGCTGAGGTCGAGCACACATCTTCAATTGTTCCTCACTGGTCGGCGTGGCCCAGTGTGGAGTGCAGTGACAAGAGCCTGGAAACATTTTGCAATCATTGTACCATGAAACTCCAAGAGAGTATGAGGGTTGACTCGAAAGCAACACATTAAACGAAGCACACTAAAGTCCAACAACAATGCACTGCCAGCATCCGAATTCGGGGTGTCAAACCTGTGTCATGCAAGTCAATTCAGGTTCTGAACACCAGAAGGCATTATAATATATATACCTAGAACCCATTTGACCTCTGTTTTGATAGGAAAAGACCTTATTTTGAGTGGTTGGTGGTCCAAAATAGGTCATTCAGGTTCTAGATGCTAGATAATATATATATACAGGGAAAAAAAGAGAAAGGCTACAGCCAACGCAAAAAATACACACCTGAAATGCCGATGGATCAGCACAGGGACCATCTGTTTCGATGCCCGAACAGAAGGAACAGAAGGTTTGCTTCTGTGATTTGCTTCATCGGGTGAGACGGAAGAAAGGAAGCCGTTTTTAGCTAGTAGCTATAATAGCTATAGCAGTGAATTTCGGCCTATCTGCTGCCATTGGACCAAAAGCAACTGCTGAAACAGCTCACAGGATTGCAGAAAGGAACACCCAACGGAAGACCAGCTTCGCCGCTTAGCCCCCCCTCTCCTGGCCAGTCAATGCTTGCAAGCGCCAGTTGTCATGGTTGTTGCAGAAGATCCATTGTGCCTCAAAGAGGACATGCAGAAAACCTGCATGGGGCCTGTGTGGGCCCACAGATCTGATTTGATGACGAAGCACGAAGCACAGAGAGGAAGCACATGTTTCCGAGTCTCACCAAACGAACCCATACATGCGGTCGCTTTGGATGGCCTTGGCACCAGCACATCAATCAAATGCTATGAATAGATATAGTGGTTCCCAAATAGATAGTGGCACGGTGTCCAATAATTACATTTTAGTGCGGATCTACTGTTTTGTCTATCCATTTGGGAGTCTCTATATGATATTCTACCGGTGTAAGTGGCATCCAGATTCCCATCCACGCTTCAAAAACCCGGTCGACCTGAATGTGATATATGGCTGCTCCATGCGGTTTCACTGCACCATGCTCGCTCCCACCGGGCTGAAGCGAAGTATCTTGGGGTCCCATCATATTCTGAGCGCGAAGTGGTGGGATCAAAGGTGTCAATCATGCGATTCTCCTGCTTCGCTGCGGTGCAAAAGAACCATGTGAAGACTACCAAGCGGTTTGAAGACTACGGGCTTCCTACCCATTTGGAGACCTAGATTTGCTCTCCTGAATGGATAACCCTACCCGCCCAACATCGAATCCATCTGCAGCGTTCAGGGGTTTTTTTACGCAGAGAGGTATCTCGCTCAAATTGGCATGTGTGTTTGGTGTCAAGGACTTCCGAAATGGCATGGAGTTCTTGAAGCGAATTGTCAAAAAATGGATCTCTTCATTCATTCTTCATCACAGGTCCTAATAATTTGTTCTATTCAGTAAGCACGTGGAGAAATCACATTGAGAAATGCATGACTGGAGACTCCAGACTGGAGATCATGTTTAATCAAATCTCTCCTCCTTGTAGGCCAGAGCAAAGCCGCTTGCAAACTCTGGTCTCTTGTAGACCTCGGCTCATGACCGGCCCAGGCTGCCCAAAAAGGGATGGACTCTGAGGTCCGTCAACTCTTGAGAATTCGAATTGGGATGTGTTTCATCAGAGGATGTGCACCTCAGGATGTGCACCATGAGAGGAGCCAGGATGTGTTGAAGTACGCCATGTTCGAGACATTGGACCAAAAGCAAGAGGTCGAGATGTCGATTCTGAGCTTCCGACAAGGGCGGTGAAGGTGTACCAGTAGTATGGATACCTTGAGATCCCAACATGATGCATCGTCTTTGATCATAGCAGGAGCATCACTAGCAGCATCACTAGTAGCATCTAGTCACTGTTTCACTTTGGGATGCTCAGCAAACATCGCCTTCTTCTTAATTTTCTTCATTCTGGTCAGCCCAATCCCAAATCATCGATGTACTGCTCATTTCATGACCCATGGACAGCCAACGCTTTTTGCAGCTTTGCAAAACAGGATGAAAACGGAAACTCTCAACCCTTTATCCGCCCAGACTCCCACATGTAATGGAGAGAAAAAAGAAGGTCCATGGGTTGATGCTCCGGGGTGCGATGTATCGCCATGTTGAAGCCTCGCTACTCAATGTGTCGCCCAGTATGTGTCCAGTGCTGAAGCCTTTTCTCATAGCCATCCTACACAATTCTCTGTCAGACCAATTCGGAAGCCAGATATCATGACCGTGGATGTTGCAGCGGCTTAGAGAGTCCCTGCTAACCTCCCAACCCCCAGCCCTTGGAGTCCCAGCACGATTCCACCCTTCAGGGTAGCTTCGCCAGGAATGAAGCGTTCTTGGCCATACATCGTGTTGTCCCGCCCACGGCCTGCCAATGTCACCAGCAGCTGTTCTCCAAAACTGTCTGGTTTTTGTGAACAATTGACCAACGGGGCACTTTTAGCAGCTTTGAACCACCAAATCAGCGCTTTTGGTCGGTTGTCTCTGCCTGTCATGGTGGCGTAGCGCTCCGTGGTGACGTAGAACTCCCCGAAGATGCCAAAATGTTCCTTTCCAAGCCAAACGAAGATGTAAGATGTCCAAATAACTTGGATTCACTGACTTTTTTTTGCATAAATGTCAACGGGTGGAGCGTGAGCTGCCTTGGCAACTCTCCTTTACAAGGTTGTCAATTGGTTTGCTAAACTTTAAAAAGTTGAGAACGCTTGGACAAATGGTCCTCTTTGGGTGGTTGTTCAAACTGAGGCTCCAGTCCATGCCTATTTCTTTTCTCGGGTGGTATAATGATGTGAGTTTCGGACTTGGGACCCCTTCAACACAAAGATTCACCACTTTCATGAAATCTCACCTCGCCTTGCCCAAGGACTTGGCATATCTTCGGATCGCAGGAGCCTCAAAGAGCCGATGAAAGGAGCCGAACCCAAAAAAGAAATTACCGGACGAAAGAACTACACGTGTGGAAGCACCAACTCCGCGGGGGAGGAAGTCCTCTTTAGTCATTTGCAGTCGCTTCGCAAGCGCAGCGAAACAGGTCCGGTGTGGCGGCACCTCATCGCCACAAACACCCTCAACGAACATTCAAAAAAACAGGACCTGATCCAAAAGGTCAGAAGGTGAGCATTCTGCCACAAGAGACACCTGAAAGCCCTGCCCCTTTTCCCACTCAAGGCTTCTCTCCAGTTCCGCCAGGCTGGGCAGCATTCGCGCTGCCGGCCGGAATCTCTTGGCCATCTGGGCCCCTGTATGTGATGTGAATTGCATCAATGACAGATCTCCACGCTCCACGGAACCGCTCACTGACAGCGGACCCGCGAACTGCGGCCACGGGAGCATCAAGGACACAGGTTCCTGCGGCATCGTCCTGACACTCGAAGCAGGTCGTCGCAATCGGAAAACAGAGTTCAAGATAGTTCAAGAGAGTTCCACGGCAGTTCCCCACGTAAAAATAGGTAGAACACACAGCAACCCAGAACTGGCCCGACATGAAACCTGCTACAGCTGTCGCCCTCAACACAGACCTCAAGATTCACTTCAATCTCGTCCAACACCCAATCGTCCTTGCAGGGTTCGGACGTCCAACGCTAAAAAAATGGAACCGGCCGTCGAAGGACGCGCGATCAAATCTGCAAAAAAAAATCGGTGTTTTTCTTGCATGTTCGCCACGTTTTGTGCGTTTGGGGGGGGGGCACCTGTGAAGGGATAGGCTCCAAGAAGCTTCGGACTTCATCTCCGCTCGCAACAAAGGCCACGGAAGTGAAGCCTGCAGCGCATGGGAGTGAGGACTACCAGACCTACAGTATCCTACAGTTGTTCTCGAGGAGGTCCAGCAACCCCGCCTGAGGAATGAGGAGACACCAGATTTTGAGAAGCCAAATGAATCTCCTTTCCGTCCAACGGAAGTGGCACTCTGTGGATGTTACCACCTGCTCTCTCAGCGACGCTGGTGGTAAAGAAGAGAGCATCATCTGCAGCCGCAACGCTGGTTGAGGCTTCCAAATCGCCCACGGCTTTCCAGGCTTTGATATTCGAGAGATTCGAGACTGGAACCTGGTACAACGTGCTCTTGAAAGCTCTGAGATGGCCCTGCAAAATGTAGACATGGTCCTCATGAAAAGCAATGCTTCGAATTGGCCAAGGTGACCCCTTCAAAAACCCTGGCTCATAGATGGGTTTCCAGTCCACAGGAGTAGGTGGGGCTGGAGCACTGAAAAGGCCTCCTGTCTGAGTCACCAAATAGATCATGTCCCGATGAAGGGCCACTCTCGCTGGCTCTTGTGATGGTGGCGGCAAGATTGGGACGTCTGGATTGTCACCACTTCTGTCCAACTGAAACAAGCAAGGTTTCAGAATTTCTGTTCCCTTGTCTGATGCAACAGGTCGAAGCACTACATAAGTCTTCTCGCAACTGCAAGCAACAGACAAAATCTTGCCCGAGAGGTTCAGGCCAATGCGCCGTAACCTCCAATTCCTGTCTGCAGAGGCGTCAGATACGGCCTGGCCGTAAACAAACCCATCTTTGCCTGTCGCATAGAGCTGTGGCCCTGACTCCACCGTTTTGTAGAGCTGAGTCACTCGCCGGGACCAAGCGCAGTAGCAGCCCTCGCACAAAACAAAAGTTTGTACCTCGCCCTCAACCTGTTGATAACACGCCACACAGAAGGGATCTAACGGATCCATGTGAAAATCAATTCTGCTCCTTTTGGCCACATTGGGTCGTAGTGGGACATCACCACTGGTGGCGGAATATCTTTCCGCATAGTCTGCGAGGAGGCTGACACCTTCTTGCGCAAAGTTCTTGAAGTGCTTCTCAAGATTCTCGTTGTTATTCCTGCGGACACAATCATGCAAGATCATTGTAAGATCATGGAAGATAGCAAGATGGAAGTTTGACGACGTCCATTCATTAAGCGCACTTTGGATTCAACAAAACCAAGGGCAAGTCTCGACACGGCGCTCTCACATTGCCCTTTGACACCCTTTTCCCCCACAAGCTCTGTGACTCAACGAACGCGATCCTTCTGGCCACAGGCACAAAAAAATGAGCCATGCAAAATATGAAAAGAGTCCGGAAGTGAGTCAAAAGAATTCAAAAGAGTCTGGAAGTGAATCACCCTTTTGCAAGTGATGTTTGAGTGAAGTTAGAAGCAGAATTCCCGCTACGTAGTCGCAAAGGGCGTGCTTTGATGTCAAGGGAAACGAATGGTCGAAAACAGTCCTGTGCCAAATCAGTGCAGCTGTGCTGGTGCGTTGCTGCATTTCAGCTGGGAGGTCTTCGTCCAGTTGCTTCTTGTCCTCCTCACTCAGTTCGAACTCCCCCTTCCAGCTGTCATGATATGGCCCAAAGAGAGACCGCAGAACCAAATGCAGAATCCCACTGACAGGTCTTTCGGTTGTGTGTTCTGATCCATGACCATGGTGCTCTTTCTTGCAGTACACAGGCGCGCCACCATCTGTTTCACTCTGCGGATACTTGGCTTGGCATTCACAGAAGACCATTTTGAAGTATACAAGCAGCTTGGAGTACAATGACCGAGCACGGGCATTCTGATCCTCTTTTGGAAAGGCTTCAACACCTTCCGATAAGAACCTGAATGCGAGATTTCTCGCTGCAATCAGCATGGATAATCTAATCGAGGTGGCTCTCCATTCCTTCAGCGCACCTTCTGTCTTGCCACATCGTACCTTCGATTTTCTTCCCAAATCCAAGAAGACTTCCTTCAGCACATTTTGATCCTCGTCAGGGTGCTGGAGCATGTACTCCTTGAGAGCTCTTGGCACCGAAGGAATTAACCCACCGACTGACTGCTTGACAAGCTTCGGGATAATTGTCAACAGTGCCCTGGCAGGAAGCTCCAAGCCTTCGCGAAGCCTCATCTTGTTCAACTCGAACCGGTGCATTTCCAGCAGGCTGATGAAATAGGCCATCTTTTCATCGAAAAGCTCGCTGCCATGCAAGTCTCTCTTCGAAATATGCTTGTTGGGAAATGTGATGATTTGAGTCCTGCCGAATGATAGTTCCAGCATCTTTTTTCTTTCTTCGTTGTTGCCGAGTTGCTCAGTGAGCTCTACATCTCGCAGCCGACCATCCTGTCCCTTCTTGACATACTTCCCAAGCTCAGCCTGGTTCCAAACAATGATCAGAAACGGCTTCGCGTTTGCTGTGAGGGCGGGATTGAGCGCTTTGGCCAAATCCAACAGCTCATCACATGCATCTTGATGTCTCAATGGATTTTGGGTCGTAACATACACGAAAGTATGCGAGAAAGCCAGGGCCAGTCGAGGGAAATACTTGCCAACAGCGCGCTGCCTCTGCTTCTCTTCCTCGTCCGAAATCTGCACTTGCAGCTCTTCTTGTAACGCGTCTTCAGGAATGAGTTGCATCAATGGAATTGTCCCTTTGGGGCCTTCCATGTCAAAGAATAGCTTCTCCTTGTGGATGAAGCATTCGATATCTCCTGTCATTGCAATCTCAGGCATGTCTCCATCCACCAACAAAGGCTGCTGCTCAGCCTTCAAAAAATCTAGGATCTCTGCAAGCAAGAAAGTTTTCCCACTTCCTGTATCACCACAGAATGAAATCGAAAAGTAACTTTCTTTGCCGTGGGCAATCTGCTTCAAATGTTCCAATTCTCCAGGAACAACTTGCGGCATCAAATCCTCTTCACTGCAAGAGTCTTCAGCCACTTTTGTCAGCTGTATGATGGGTTTTTTTCCGCTTCTTGTATTCCGCAACCTGATGAACAATCTCTGCAGGCACCCGGACAACCATTGCAGAAGGCGCAATGTCCACACAGGGGACTACACCTTCAAGAATTGACACTCTTTGAATGCTCTCACGCACACGCAGGTCCCACGCAGGTCATTTAAGAAGCGCCCATGTGCACATTGACAGGTGCTAGACTGAAAGCTATGGGGGGGAAGCAGTGGACAGCAACTGTAGGTTGCATCCCGTTCGGGAAAAACATGTTGTTTTGCAAGTAATCGCGAGAGGTGCAAAAGGCCTCTCAACAAGGAATGCAAACAAAATCAAATCAACCCAGATTTGGCTCCGCTGCATCTTTCGACGACAACAAATGTGTCACAGCCGCAGATCCAATTGTACATGTGCTGCAGCTATTCCACTATCCTTTCTTGGCACCCAACAATATGTCGAGGATTTCAAAAAAAGAACGCAGCCTCCATGTCCAAAAGGTACAAAAGCAACAGTTTGTTTATGCCAGGTCACTAAAAGGCACATGTACTGGGGAGTTCTGCCACTCTTAGTGCGAACTACTCCCAACCAGCGCAAACGACCTAGCTCCAACATCTTTTTGAACACCGCTTCTTTATGAGCTTCAAAGTGGTCCCTTTCACGGCAGCACAGGACATTGCAGCAGCGTTGAAGTCAACCTGCAATAAGATGAGTACTGCAGCAGTTGGGTTGCAAAAGGACCGAAAAAGGTATTGTAACAGCTGGCCACCCCAATGCTTTCACTACTCCTCAGCTCCATTTGATGCGAAAAAATCCACAGCAATTGTCGAGAAGAGAGCCTTCATCGTCTGTGCATCCCCAAACCATCAACCGTGGAGGCATCAAGGTGCTTTTTTAGCAAAATTACAGTATACACAAGCAGTGGGCAATGCACACGAGTTGGTGTGGGCCCAAGACAAACAAGATACATTGGAATACTCTTGCAGGGCACTCTTGTTGGGCACTCTTGCAGGACACTCTTGTGGGACGCTCTTGTGGGACACTCTCGTGCGACACTTTTGTGGGACACTCTTTTGGCAAGCTCTTGTGGGTCACTCTTGTGGGACACTCTTGTAGGGTGGACAACTCTTGCCGGGCACTCTTCTGGCGGCACTCTTGCTGGACACTCTTGTGGGACACTCTTCTAACAGTCTTGTGGGAT